TGCAGAGGTGCTCAACGGGGAAGCCCTGGGGTCCAGGACCCGTTCCATCAGGATCAATCAGGATCCATGCACCGCCCGGCTGCGGGGCAACTGTGCTTCTGCACGCGTGCACGTCCCCCCCTTCGCCCGCCTCTGCTTGCTCTGTCGTGCACGCCTGCTGTTTTTCGCACTGCTCCACAACGCTTGGTTGCCATTCGCTGGCGTGGTCGTGTCCCGATCATGCACTCGCGACGGCGCCCTCTATTGCTGGAAAAATAGCACTGAGTGTAGCTCCCCATGTGCAGCGCCTGCGGGACTTCAATCGCTGCGGTTGTATCACCTGGCCGACGGAGGGAAAGGGTGCGCGCGCGTGTGTGTGTGTGTGTGTGTATGTGTGTGTGTGCTCCCCCCTGCCGCAGCCAGTGACTTGCCTGAGCGGGCCCGGCTTCCCCCCTTCCCGTCTCGCCGGGGCCTACTCCTCCTCCCTCGTGCATCGCGGCATTCATTGTCACACAGGGCGCCCCCTGTTGCCAGATCGCCGGAGCAGTCACCCTATGCCCAGCCGCCGACGCAAAAAACGTGTGTAAGTGTGCATATGTGTGTGTGTGTGTCTGTGTGTGTGCGTGCGTGTGTGTGTGTGTGTGTGTGTGTGTGTGTCCGTGTGTGTCCGTGTGTGTGGGCGTCCGTGTGTGTGTGGGCGTGTGTGTGGGCGTGTGTGTGTGTGTGTGTATGTGTGTGTGTGTGTGTCTGTGTGCCTGTGTGTTTGGAAGTTGCATTGTGGCTTCGGCGCGGCAGATGCTCCGTCTTCGCCGCAGTCCTCGGAACCCCTGGCCGCCAGAGAGGGGGCGCTGCACGGTGCTCCGGCCGCAGCGCCGCTCCAGGAGTCTCTGACGTTCCGTTCCCACCGGTGCTCGGCCCTCGTGTGTCCCCCCCGCGCCAGGTCTTCGGCAGCGAGGCCACGCTCGAGCGCCTTCCATGAGCGCGCCCCAGTCCCCCCTGCTAGCAAGTTGTACCGTGCTTGATTTTCGTGGTGTTTGGGGGGGGGGGCCTGCAACTGGGCGGAGTCTGCTGACTCGTTCGGGCTGGCTCCTGCCCCGCTCCCCCGCCACGATTCCCCCATTCCTCCTTCACGCCTCTCTTACTCCCCCAACTCCTCCTCCTACTCCATGTCCGCCGCCGCTCCCCATTCGTATCCTCTTCCATTTTTTCTGATCATCCTCCTCACCCTCCCCTCTCGTCCAACACCGTCTGCACTCATGATCCTTTTCCTCCTCCTCCTCTTTTTCTTCTACCCATCTTCAGTTAACTCTTTACTGCGGCACCACCAGATGTGTCCGTCCGCCGGGCCGAGCTATCCGCTTGATTTTTGAAGCTTCCTTCCAGCTGATGACCCTGCAGAAACAGCGGTCGCAAGGATGGAGGGCCAATTGTTTTTGCAATGCGGCTCTCGCTTAACCGCCGCCCACACCCGTTTAGACATTTGCCAACCGCAGCAATGAGGAGGCCGTCAAGTCTTCACTGTCAGCCCCGGCCGTAGTGCCGCGCCCATTCGTTCTAAAAGTTGCCAAGCCTTGTACGGATGGGGACCGTTTCATTTTCAGGATGCGTTTTTTTTTTTTTTTTTTTTTTTTTTTTTTTTTTTTTTTTTTAAATCTCTTGAGATGTCCTACAATCCGATGCGCAATTTCCAAATCGTACAACGACTGCGCGGATTGAGGGCGACTTCTTTTCCAAATCGGATTTTCGCTTCAGACACAAACCGTATGACAATCATTGTGAAATTTTGCAGCACTTACCCGGATGAAGGGCTGACTTGTTCCCACACGGGGCTATCGTTGGATTTGCTTTTGAATTTTATTATACCACCTCTTTGCAATTCCTTGAGCTTTCTCATCCTACCTCTCGGCATGTCCGTGAACTCGAAGGATGGAAGTTGGATCCTTGACAAGACGTGGTCTCGCCTGGGTGGCAGGCAGGCTCACTGGGCGTTCGTGTTTGCAGTTTTTGTACATACTTCCTGTGTTTCCTCTGGCCCTCCTTTTCCTCCTCCTCCTCCTTTTCCTCCTCCTCCCCCTCCTCCTTCTCCTCCTCCTCCTCATCATCATCATCATCGCCATCATCATCCATCATCACCATCATCATCAACATCATCATCATCAACATCATCATCGTTATCGTTATCGTCCTTGATCGTCCTTGTCATCTCCATCCTCATTTTCAGCAGCATAATCATCATCATCGTCATCATCAGCAGAATGTGCATCAGCATCACCATCGTCATCACCACCACCATCATCATCATCATCATCATCATCAACTTCATCATCATCACCAGTATCGCGATCTTCCTCGTCATCGTCATGAACATCGTCATCGTCATCACCATCGTCATCATCATCGTCAGCATCAGCATAAGCATCACCACCATCATCGTTGTCATCATCATCGCCACCGTCGTCGTCATCAACATCGTCGTCGTCATCGTCATTGTCATCGCCATCATCATCGTCAGCATCAGCATCAACATCAGCATCACCATCATCATCATCGTCATCATCATCGCCATCCTCATCGCCATCGTCATCAACATCTTCGTCGTCATCGTCATTATCATCGTCAGCAGCAGCATCATCATCGTCATCATCAGCAGCATCAGTATTAGCATCAGCATCATCATCAGCAGCATCGCCATCTCAATCACCATCATCGCCATCGACATCGACATCGACATCGTCATCGCGCATCATCATCAACAGTATCAGCATCATCATCATCATCATCATGATCATGATCATGATCATGATCATCATCGTCATCATCATCATCAGCATCAGCACCATCATCAGCAGCATCAGCGGCAGCATCATCACCACCATCATCACCATCATCATCGCATTCCTCCTCCTCCTCTTCCCTCCTCCTCCCTCCTCTGCCTCGTCTGGGTTGTTGCTGCTCCTCGTGCTCGTCTTCGTCCCTCTGCTCGTCCCTCACCTCCTCCTCCATCTCCCACTCTTCCTCGTCTCCTTCCCGGAGTTTCCTTCTTCTCCTCCTCCTCCTCCTCCTCCTCCTCCTCCTCCTCCTCCTCCCCTCCTCCTCCTCCTCCTCCTCCTCATCCCTCCTCCTTCTCCCTCATTCTCCTCCTCCTCCACCTCCTCCCCTCCCTACTCCCTCCTCCATCCTCCCCCATCCCTCCTCCATCCCCATCCTGCTCCTTCAGCTTCTCCTCCTTACTCCTCATCCTCCTCTCCCTCCCTCCTATCTCCTCCTTCCTCCCTCTTCCCTCCCCTCCTCCTCCTCCCTCCTCCGCCTCCTCCTCATCCTCCTCCTCCTCCACCTCCTCCCTACTCCCTCCTCCCTCATCCCTCCTCCATCCCATCCTGCTCCTCCAGCCTCTCCTCCTCATTGTCCTCCTCTCCGTCCCTCCCTCCTTCCCCCCCTCCCACCCCTCTCCTCTCCTC